TCCTTAAAATTTACGTTTCAGCAAGACCAAATATTTCCCTTACATCTCAGATCTCTTTCTTTCCTTCTCTGACCAGAACATGTGGATAGAGAGGACAACCTACACGACAGCTTATTCCTTTCCAGGCATCCTCAAGTGGTTTGAGGTCAAACAGGTCACAACGGTGAGTTCTCCACATGGGCTGCATCTCCTCCTCTCCAATCCCTCATGGAATAAAGCCTTGGAGCACTTGGCAATGCCAGTCCTTCCACTGTTGGATGTGGCTCAGATTAAACCAAATTATTGAGTTTCTTACTCAGTGGAGAGGAATGGTTTGGGTTAGGAAGACCTTAAAATCATCCAGTGCCACCCTCTGCCATGGGCAGGGACAATTTCCACTGTCCCAGGGTGCTCCAGCCTGGCCTTGGACACTTCCAGAGATCCGGGGCAGCCACAGCTCCTCGGGGAATTCCATCCCAGCCCCTCCCCACCCTCACAGGGAAGGATTTCTCCCTAAAAACTGCATGAAGGTCTGAAAGCTTTATCCTGCGACTCTGCAGAAGGCTCATTCTGTTTCTTCTGTCCCTCAGGAGGAGATCAGCCCCCTGGAGAACGCCATAGAAACCATGGAGCTGACCAATGAGAGGATCACCAACATCGTGCAGCAGCACACGTGGGACCGCAGCCTGCCCGTGCACCCCCTGTCCATGCTGCTCAGCGGCATCGTGGACCCCGCCGTCATGGGGGGCTACACCAACTATGAAAAGGTCCTTGGCACACCCAGGGAGCCCCTCTGGTGTTCACCTGGAGAGGAGGAGGCTCCAGGGAGAGCTCAGAGCCTGGAGGGGCTCCAGGAGAGCTGGAGAGGGACTGGGGACAAGGGATGGAGGGACAGGACACAGGGAATGGCTCCCGCTGCCAGAGAACAGGGATGGGTGTTATTTTTGGAAGGAATTCCTCCCTGAGAGGGTGGGGAGGGGCTGGGATGGAATTCCCAGTGAGCTGTGGCTGCCCCTGGATCCCTGGCAGTGCCCAAGGCCCCGATGGAGCAGCCTGGGAGGTGTCCCTGCCATGGCAGGGGTGGCCCTGGGTGACTTTTAAGGACGTTTAAGGTCCCAGCCAAACCATTCCAAAATTCCCTGGAGAGGGACTGGGGACAAGGGATGGAGGCACAGGACACAGGGATGGGTGGGAGATTGGGCAGGAGCTGTTCCCAATAGGTGGGGAGGATCTGGGATGGAATTCCCAGAGCAGCTGTGGCTGCCCTGGATCCCTGGCAGTGCCCAGGGCCAGGCTGGAGCAGCCTGGGACAGTGGGAGGTGTCCCTGCCATGGCAGGGATGGCACTGGGTGACTTTTAAGAACTTTTAAGGTCGCACCCAAACTATTCCAAAATTCCTTGGAGAGGGACTGGGGACAAGGGGTGGAGGCACAGGACACCGGGAATGGCTCACAGTGCCAGAGGGCAGGGATGGGTGGGATGCTGGGCAGGAGTTGTTCCCTGGGAGTGGCTGGGAGGGAATTCCCAGTGAGCTGTGGCTGCTCTGGATCCCTGGCAGTGCCCAGGGAGCAGCCTGAGCCCTGAAGTCCCTTCCCAAAGCACTGCAGGGCTCTGGGAGCTGCTCTGGAGCCCTGCAGCGTGCCAGGCCCAGGTGGGAGCAGCTCCAGCTCCATCTCAGCCCTGTCTGGGGCTCTGTGTGTGCAGAGCTCAGCCAGGGGGAGAGGAGCACAGAGAGCTGAGGTTTCAGCACTGGCTGAAAGGTGGAAGGATTCAGGTTTAGATCTCTCAGGGCCAGGGGAGGATCCAGCTCTTCCTTTGCAGTGGGATGAGAACCTGCTCCTGCCTTGTGGGCAGCCTGGGTACCAGAGAAAAGCCAAAACCTGCCCTTCCTCCCCTGTATTAACAGAAGGCAGAAGAGGCTTTCTCTTGCCAGCAGCCTCTGTGTCTTTGGAGTCTTGCAACAGAGCAAATAATCCAGGAAAAAAAGCAGCATTTCCTCTACAGGTTTACTCAGCTGACTTCGCTTGAGCAGTGTAGGTTGTTCTTTTCTGTGATCTTTAACTCAAGCTGTTGATTCCCTCCACCTCATGATGAAATTCCCAGCACAAAAGGCACTGCTTGTTTGCACAAAGTGGGTGCAACGTGGTAAAACACATTTAATTCTCCTCAGCTGCGTCCCAGTCCCCTGAAATGAGGTGCACACATTAATTGGGAGAGGGGCTGATTGATCTGGGGTCTAACTCTGCTGATTCCAGAGGAGTTTGGATGCTTTGCCAGGGCTGAATTTGGCCCCGAATCCTCCCATTTTATGAATTAAGGTTGACATCAAGTTTAGAATTACAGAATTGAGAAAGCAGTTAAAACTAGAAAACACAAAATCTCTGCAGCCACATCTGGAAATACTCATTTCTGGTTCATATTTTCCTATTTCAGCTGCAGATCAGTGCAGAACATTTGGCTTTTGTGGGCGGCTAAAATCTTGAGTTTTAATTGTTTCATTGTAGCCAAAACCCAAAGTTGGAGTTTTTAACATCTTTCCTCTTGAAATAATTAAGCACTTTCAAGGAAAATCCCCTGGGACCTGCCCAGCAGCCCTTTCCCAGGTTCACCTCCATCCTGTTCAGGATCAAACCCCCAGCCCTATAAACTTATACCACAGTCCAGTCTTACAGAAGTAAAAAAAAATATACTCAGAGGCTGAAATAGCTCGGAGAGACAAATGAAAAAATTATTAGGGGGTTTATCTACAAAAAAAAAAGAAAAAAGTTACTCTGAGCAGGAATTAGGATCCATTTTAATGGGATACATCATGGGAATTGGCACAAATTTAAGTTTTTCGTCCAGGAAAATGGATTTGTTTTTGTTCAACTTCAAACCAAGACCAGATTCTGCTGATTAAAGGTAAACCCAGGAGAAGTGGAGACTAAAGGTGCTTTGTTGAAGGAAGCTGGGAGCCCAAATCCCAGCACGGTCTTTATTTCTACTGAATCTTCGTAACCAGCCCCAGGTGAAAATGGGGATTTAAGGGCTGAAATAAGGAAATTGCAGCAGGAGCTGCTTTGCTCTCCTTGGGGCAGCTGGCCTTGTGTGCTGTGAGGCACTGACTGCTGAAAATAAAGAGGCTTTTTGAAGTCAGAACTTGAGGTTTTGGGTCTGCCACTCACATTTAAGTGAGAAGTAGAAGTTGATGGAACCTCAGTTATTCAGATCAGTGCTGTGAGAAGGGGATCAGGGCTGGGCAAAACCTTTCTGATGCAGTAAGTTTTCTTCCATATGTTTTGCTAGGAAAAAAGCTGTAATTTTTTAAAATAAAAAAGTGGGGTTTGTTCCCTTTTCCCAACCAATAACCCTGACTCTTTGTCCCTCATCTTGTTGCCAGCAAAATGTGGGTTTAATATGAGGAATAATGGCAGTGAATTGCTTTTAAAGGAACAAATAATCTGGGTTCTTTGTCCCTCATCTTGGTGCCAGCAAAATGGGGGTTTAATATGAGGAATAATGGCAGTGAATTGCTTTTAAAGGAACAAATAATCTGGGTTCTTTGTCCCTCATCTTGGTGCCAGCAAAATGTGGGTTTAATATGAACAATAATGGCAGCGTTGCTTTTAAGGGATCTTCCCCTCAGAGCTGCCTGAGGAAGCAGTGTCTGTGTCACCTGTGTCACCTCCTCTTTCTCTCTGTGCTTCCAGGCCTTCTTCACAGAGAAATATCTCCAAGAGCATCCTGAAGACCAAGAAAAAATTGAGCTGCTCAAGCAACAAATTGCTATCCAGGTGTGGGACTGGGGATGTGGAGGCACTGGGGGAGTGGGGAGGAGGGAATCCTGGAATGCTTTGGGTGGGAAGGGCCCACCCAGTGCCACCCCTGCCATGGGCAGCGACACCTCCCACCATGCCAGGGTGCTCCAAATCCCACCCAGCCTGGTCTGGGGAAAACATTGATGTTTGTTCAGCACCTGGAGCTCCAGCACTGAATTTGAGGAGCAGCTGAGCTCCCTTGCTGTGTCACTGTTTATTTTCCCCTTCACAAGCACAAAACACGTTGATTTAGAGCTTTTATTTTTATCTGAGCTGTTGAACTGACCCTCTGGGGAGCAGGAGGGCTGGTCTGTGCTCCTGCAGCTCATTCTGCTCCTTCCTGCCACCTCGCTCAGATGCCTCTCCTGGCAGAGGGGATCCGCATCCACGGCGAGAAGCTGACGGAGCAGCTGAAGCCCCTGCACGAGAGGCTCACAGCCTGCTTCAGGGAGCTCAGGAGGAAGGTGGAGAAGCAGTACGGGGTCATAACTCTGGTGAGGGAACCTGGTTTTTTCCATGTTTTGCCCC